AGAGACCTGTGGGCATGTATGGATGAGGAGAGGGAGGGGAGATGGGGGAGGGATAAGACGATCGAATACAAAAAGGAACAATATTATGAGGGAAAAACAAGAAGAGAGACAAGAGATGAGGAAGGGCAACTGAGAGTAAGCGATCGAGGTAAGAGAGGGAGAGAAAGAGGGGCTTGAAAGAGAGAGAGAGAGAGAGAGAGAGAGAGAGAGAGAGAGAGAGACGGGGCAGGGGGAAATGGCATCGTTTCAGGTTCAAGGGGCACGTACACCCGTTAAGTCAAATATATTATCCACCTTTGTAATAACCACACACTCCATACATGCACCTACTTTTTGCATCAAATTCACTTCCTAAATACTGTAAGAGCTATATGTTATCATGGAGTTACTAACTCCATGATGTTATTAAACCTATCCCGATCCTTTGGGCCTACTTGCCTCACCACTCCATTCCCACCACTTCGACTAATCTCCGCGAGTGGAAAATGATAACTTATGAATGGGGTTAGTTTTCTAGAATTAAGCCCCCCTAGGATGTTCCTCTAATTATCATCATATGTGCTTACAAGCATTTATGCTTTCTTAGCAGTCAGGTAAAATAACCACCACCACCACCATACGAAAGGTTTCATGGAGGGGGGGGGGGGGGGGTCTCCTATTCCAAGTGCGTCATATGAACTTCTACGCAAGGTCAAAGAGCATATAGCGAGCATCGAGCAGTGTTGATGTTTTTGTTCATTCATGTGGTGTTAGGTTTGCCGAGGGGCATATCCATACGTTCTCAAGGTAGAAATTGATGGGGGGGGGGGTGGGTGAGGTTGTGTGGATATTGGAAACTAGTTTGGATTGTTAACACAACAATTTCAGTCGATATACGTCAGGCCATACCAGGGATCTTCGGCTTTCTCGTTTTCCAACGAATTCGTCCACCCCCTTCTTTATTCCGATAATCTTGGATCCACCGAATTTGGGGGGGGGGGGGGGCTGAGGTTGGGTGGATATTGGAAACTAGTTTGGATTGTAAACACAACAATTTCAGTCGATATACGTTTTAGGCCATACCAGGGATCTTCGGCTTTCTCGTTTTCCAACGAATTCGTCCACCCCCTTCTCTATTCCGATAATCTTGGATCCACCGGATTGGGGGGGGGGGGGGGGGGCTGAGGTTGTGTGGGTATTGGAAACTAGTTTGGATCGTAAACACAACAATTTCAGTCGATATACCTTAGGCCATACCAGGGATCTCCGGCTTTCTCGTTTTCCAACGAATTCGTCCACCCCCTTCTCTATTCCGATAATCTTGGATCCACCGGCGAACCCAGGAAGATAGATACGATGAATAGGTTCCAGTGGCGTACCTATGGGGGGGGCAGGGGGGGCAGAGTGCCCCCCTGACGGGCTCCAGGGGAAAAAAAGAAAAAGGGGAAAGAAAAGAAAAGAAAGGAAAGGAAAGAAAAAAAAAGGAAAAGGGAAGAAAAAAGGAAAGAAAGAGAAAAAAGAAAAAAAGGAAAGAAAAAAGGAAAGAAAGAGAAAAAAGGAAAAAAAGGAAAGAAAAAAGGAAGAAGAAGAGAAAAGGAAGAAAAAGGGAAAAGAAAAGGAAAGGAATAAAAATGGGGAAATTTAAAAAAAAAAAAAGACCATGGCCGTACGCACCAAGGGGGGGGGGGGCAGTTGACCCCAGATATTTTGAAAACGTACAGTTTTTTTCCTGAAAATGTAGTGTACGCCTTTAATTACCAAATCCTTCAATTCTACTTTTGAAAATGCAAAAGTACCCTCATGACCAGTTCGGTCGCTCGAACTCCCTTCACTCCTTTTGAGATTCTTCGAAAACTTTTAACGCATCTTTCCCCCTCCCCCACCAGAAAAATATTCCGCATACGGCCCTGAAAAATTAAAACAAATGAAAATGGGAAAATATAAGTGATATAACAAATTCGAAACTCTTCGCTGGCGCGAACTGCTTGCTAGCCTATTTTGTATTAAATGTTTTCACTTGCTCGTCCCCCTGAAAAAAGAAAAGGATTAGTATTGCCTAGAATACAATTGTGCCTGCCCCGACGGGCCCCAACCTGCAACCATGGCAACAATAACACACAATATATGTACCAAATGTTACTAAAAGAGACTAATTCATTTTTCTCGCTCGCTACACTCGCTCGCGAATAAAATGAATAGACATTGCTTTGGAAACAATTGTGCCCACCCTTGACCTGCAACAATATCATTAAAAATGGGAGAGTTTTTTCGCCCTCTCGCCAAAAAGAAATTGAATCGCGTTAAACGCGATTGCGTCCATCCTGACCTGCACCAATAAAAACAAGTTTATTTATTAATTTTTATTAAAAGAGAATTTTTTTTTTTTTGCTTGCTCGATATGCTCGCTCGCCAAAATGGAATTGACACCGCTAACGTTCCCGCCCCAACCTGCAACAACCAGTTAATAATTATGTACCAAACGTTATTCAAAGACGTTTTGGTGTGCTCGTGCTCGCCAAAACGGAATTAACATCACCTTAGACATGATTGTGTAAGCCCTGCCCTGCAACAAAAAAATCTGAAATTTATGAACCAATTATCATTACAAAAATTTTGCTCGCTCGCTACGCTCGCTCGCCAAAATAGAAATAACACCGCTTTTAATAATCACGTCCCTGACATGGAACAATAAACCCAAGTTTATATACCATATTTTCCCTATAAAAGAGAAGTGATTTTTTTTGCTCGCTCGCTACGCTCGCTCGCCAAAATAGAAATAACACCGCTTTTAATAATCACGTCCCTGACATGGAACAATGAACCCAACTTTATATACCATATTTTCCCTATAAAAGAGAAGTGATTTTTTTTTGCTCGCTCGCTACGCTCGCTCGCCAAAATAGAAATAACACCGCTTTTAATAATCACGTCCCAGACATGGAACAATGAACCCAAGTTTTATGTACCATATTTTCCCTATAAAAGAGAAGTGATTTTTTTTTTTTTTCGCTCGCTACGCTCGCTAGCTCGTGGAATTATGTGCCCACCACTAACCTGCTACAATATCATTAAAAAGAGAAATGTAGGGGGTTGCCTGCCCGCCAAAATGGGATTGACATTGCCTTAAACACGATTGTGCCCGCCCCCTACCTGCAACAATGAAACAAATTTTATATAGCAATTCATCGAGAGAAAGATGTATTTTCGCTCGCTAGCTAAAATGGGTATAAAATCACCCTAAACACAAAATTGTTCCCGCGCCCTGCATGGGACAATTGAACCAAGTTTACACTCGTTTGCAAAAAAAATAAATTAACGTCGCTAACAAGTAAATGTTCCCACCCCCAACTTGCAACAATACCAGTTTATATACCAAACGTTACTTAAAGATTTTGTTTTGCTCGCTCGCTCGCCAGAAGTGAAAATTAGCATCGCCTTTTTTGTTTGTTTCGGTCGCTTGCCCCCCCTGACGGAGTATCCCAGGTACGCCACTGATAGGTTCCCTTAACCCCCCCGACAAATAATAATAATAATAATAATATTTCATTTGTATATAGCGCTTTACAAATATACTATTATCGTAGTACAAGAATTCAAGACGGAAAATATGTGCCAAAAATTGAATTGTGTCGCAGCGAAAATTTAGAACTTTATAAGCCTGGAAATGTGATTAAAATCACCTTCATTATATATCTTTGTTATGAATTTTTGGACAAAACCAAGAAACCTCGAAATGTGAAATTCGATTTCTTTTTTAATGTTTGCTTTTCAGAGATTTGTCGGATCTGAAAACGCCACTGCGTGTGTTTAATACAATATTATTGAATTCCTCGCATAACTTTAAGTAGGATATGAGGGTACACATTCCAGAATTTGGAGACATGAGAGATGGAAAAAATAAACACACCTCTTTCTTTAGCCCTATGTCAACGAAATATTCATACAGAAGGTCAAGGATAGAGAGAAACTGCATTTATATTTTTGGTTTTGCCCCCACGTGCTTGCTTTATTTTTTAACGGTATTGTGGGAACTTTCAGTACTCGTCCAACCTTCATCTTCCTTGAAGCTATGTATCTTGTTATGTCCAACGTATGTGTACCCTTAGCCTTGGCTATCATGATGTTCTACCATATTCCTCATTAGTACACCCTGTCAACTCATCTTTTGTCCGACATGAACTTGTACTTCACAACTATTCACATTTAATGCCTTTACCCCATTCTCCTTACAATATTCCATCAAGTGAGTTAATGTTGGAAATGCTATTTGTATATTGCTTCGAGCATTTGTTGTGATATTCATATAATATAATGGAGCTTGTATAACCCGAATTGGTTTTCGTTGATGTAATCATTTGTGATTCTCTCTATTTCCCTTTTTTTACTATTCTTCTCTCTTAGTATCCTCTCCAATTTGTTTCTTCCTATTTATGTCTTTTCCCAACCAGAATCTTCTTTTGTCTAACTGCACATCATCATCATCTCGCTCCCTTCCTCATTCTTTCCTTCTCCTCTTTTTCTTTCGTCACACTTTCTTGTATATTTGTAAATACATGTAAGTTATTTAAGGGTACCTATGTCATTACAAGCTTCTCTTCTCTTAAGGGTCCCCACACTCTCTCTCTTCAGCTTGAAACAAACAAGAACATATTCGTTTCTTCTCTATCATCACATGATGATACAGGCTATATATATTAAGATGTTATAATTTGTGACATTTATACTTGTGTTTTTTTTTGTTTTTTTTACTGTACTATATGTTTTGCACTTATTGTATTATAATTGTTTGAGATGTGTGGAAATAAATAAATAAGTAAACTTGAAACTTTTCCCACTTTCCAAAATACACCAGTAAAAGGACATGATGATTCAGTATTATATAACGACATTTTAGTGCTGTGCTTCTGATAGTGACGTAACCTTTTTTAATAAAAGTCTATCATATGTTTTTTGCATTGATATGGAAATAAAGGCCTCACCGTTAGGATAATTCATGTAGACGGGGGAAATGAAAAGCCAGATTCATTATTTCAACATTTATTGTTTCTTTATTAAAAGTTATCCTTCACCCATTGACAGACAAACACAAAATGAAAATTGACACAAGAAGTAACTGATGAGTGTCTATAATCAAACAGTCATACAATAAATCATTGAAAACTTACTGGATACTCCGACGATCTGACAAAAGCAATTATAACTGCTTCATTCATGTTTCTAAATTTAATTCGATAGGGTATCATTTAACCCTTTAAGTGGACAGATCATCGCGATCATTTGTCGAACTTAAACCCAATTCTTTTAATCCTAATCCCCAAAGTATATCGATACCGTTCTACACTGTTGGCAAACTGGTTTCCACTCCTGAGGCGTTTGTGGCGTTTGACCAAGCTGTCACTGGTTATCAAACTCCACAGAAGACAAAACACCTTGTCCATAGAAATCAAGACGACACAGTCACTGACTACAATGTCCGATGAGAGGTGAGATGATACTCTGTTTCACTTGAGAAATTCTCGAATCAGATTATCACTCGATATTTATACCAGAATAAGTTCAAAAGAATTATATATAAAGACAACTTGGCGATTATAAAAACAGCGAAAACTTAGCGAAAATAAAATTATAGCAAAGCCGATCAAAAGTCTCATTACTAATTTAATTTTCTAAAGCCATAGAACATTTTCACCTGGTTTTGGGAAGGTGATAGACGTACTTACATGACTGAAGCTCTCTTATTTAGTAATAAAGAAGATACGATTGATTTCCTAAACTTGATGCCATTTTTACTTTACCACACTTTACCATAGAGTGCACACAATAATTATACCCGACGCACGTAAAAGAGATAGTGAATGATATAGAAATCAAACTTTAAGTTGAAATGTTGTAGTCTGCTTGACCAGGATAGGAAAACTCTAGATCCAGTCTCGTCCGCCGTTCGCCTGTCCGCCGTTCGCCTGTCCTCCTCCTCTCCCATAGCCACCACCGCCCCCGACGGCAGGCCTGGGCATAGGTCTATCATCATAATCGTCACGATGAACTGCTTTTTCTCGCAGCGGTCTGGAGGTTGCCGCCATTCCTTCACTACCGCTTCTGCTGAATCTCCGAAGAGGTGGGATCTTGTTAACGAAGCCGGTACCTCCTCTCAGGTAGAAGAAGATGGTCTCGATTGTGAAGATGATGAGCGTTGCTGCACCACCCAGCATCATCAGGTAGTAGACCCCTGCTAGATCCTGGCTGGTAATCTTCTTCTTAGCCTGCTTGTGCCACTGCTTCTTGTAGATCTTCTCGCAGTAAGGTGTATAGAAGGACTGCGAGGTGATGTTCGCCAGGACACCGTTCCCCTTGATTTTCTTGATGGCGTAAGTGAGTTGATCACGAAGAGGTGATCCAGACTGGACGGCGAGAGGAAACTTGATCTTGGTCACGTACCCACCAACGATGAGCATGTCGCAAGGCCAACGCAGAGCTTCGTATTCCAGCATCTTCTTCTCGGAGAGCAGAGCATACCCGCCATTGTCCCTCCGAACCTTGCGGACACCGTCGATCAAGTCCTGCACGATTTTCTGTTCGTCGCCGGTCTGGATGTCGTCCCAGGTGATTCGCTTGTCACCCTTCGTGGCCTGGTGGAATAAATCGAACGTCGGGCTCTTACGGACCACGCCGAAGTCGAATGACTCCTGTTTGTTCAGGTCGAACAGGCTGCGGATCTTGTAGGGCACCTTGCTGGCTTTCATTAAAGGCGTCAGACTACTCACGTATAACCATACCATCATGAGCGTGTAGGCGAACCAGAAACCCGAGAGGACTCTACCCGTATACGAATGTGGCGATTTGGAGGGGAATCCTTGAAATGCCATTATGGACAACATGTAATAGAAGGTGTTGATGAAGGAGAAAGTCTCTCCGTCCTCTTTCGGGACCTCTCCTCTGGAGGCTTTTGCACGCAATTCGTTCTGGTTTAGGTAACTCACCACCCACATCAGGATGCTCGCTACGACAAAAGCCAGAAAGTTGGTCAGCCAGGAATAGATGTTGAAGGGGAAGAGAGGTACGAAAGGGTATTCCCAAATGTAAGTTGGATGCTTCACCAGGAGCTGGACGTCACTCTTGTACCAGGTGCCTGTAAAATCGATGTAATCCTCTCGGATGTTTGTCTTTGTCAGAGCAGCGGCGATAATGTCAGCATCCTACATGAACATAGATGAATGAATGGAATTACATGGTTAGTTCAATAAATAAAAATGGCACTCATGGACTGGATTGTATTTATACTGTAGTTGATACCTTACGATTGAATGTAAACAAAGTTAAACCATGTCATGACTGTTATTTACATAAAAAGATGAAACAAATAAATGAAAACAAGGAAACTTCATAATTTTAATGTAAGGTTATTTTACCTGACTTCTTAAGGCATGAGTATTCTTGTAAATAAGTTACCAGGGGACCGAAGGCTCTAAAGTCTTTTAAAAGAACACTGGTGTTGAACCTTTTAAAAATACAACCGCTCTACCACTGCGCCATCGCGCCTCCAAAGTCATCTTAAAGATCCGCAAAATATAATCTTGCATTATTATGAAATGTTCCACTATTATTGAGCGTTGTTATAGCTGGATACAGAGATACTATCCCAGGATAAGCATTGCATGGAAGTAAAATGCAATTTGCAATGTATCTGCCTCAAACATTGACTAAGTTTGTTAAATTATTGCATTCATTTATTCAAAGAAACATTTTTATTTATTTTTTTACTCCACTTATTTTTGTTAAGGAAGGAGACGTACAATCCGTTAAAGAACAGCTTGTGATGGGTACGCCTGAGGAATTTGAGAAAGAAGACAGGGGGTTGTTTCACCAAATCGTTTTCAGTACAAACCGACATCCCATTGCAATGCAGAGACTGCAATGCGATGTCGGCGAACTCGTTCTCATAACTGTTTTGTGAAACAATGCCCTGAGGACTAAAGTCTGTTGTCTTGTGAAAGATTCTACCTACCCCATCGAACAGATCTCTCATCATGCCATCCCATTCTTTAGTCGACTTGTCAAAACGACCATAATTCCCTTCTCCAAGGAGCTCAAGCCTGCAATATGAAACCAAACAAAATATACATCTATGAGATTTAACAAATATGTTAGGCTGACCAAGGGGAAGACAAGATAGAAAGAATTACACGGGGAATGCCCCCGTCTCAGTGAGGCAGGGAGGGTTGATGGAACTTTACCCAATTCTGATAATAGAAGCAGTTTACAAGTTCTGTAATCATTGTAATGGATTAAAATGTCAAGTTTCAATACGTAACAACGCATTTCTATGTCTCACTCTTTCGCTCCCTTCCTCACAGGCTACTTCCAAAAGAGTATAATATTGCATGCTTCACAACAAACAAACTCCCCGTTGCCCCCCTCCAATCCCCAAAGTGGTCGATCCCTGAACCCCTCCCTGAACCCCTCCCTGTACCCATCAATGGCTACGCCGCTGTTGAAGTTGTTCTTACTTACCTGTAGCTGAAGTCCAAGCCCATGTCGTCTTCGAACACGTGTTTGATAGCTTCGAGGAGTGCTGGAACGTAGCCGATGTAGAGACCGTTGTCGATGGTTTCTCCTGTAGCACGGCGATTTCGACGGGGATTCCGGATCTGTTCGTAGTCGTAGCGCATTATGAATGGTGGTTCCTATGCAAACAAGACATTCAATGGAGTCAGTAAGCAACTGGGGGCGAAAATTCGCTGCTCTGCCGAAAATACTAAACATACATGGTCAATCAGGAGCTAGGCTTGTACCCAATCTTAATGTCCCCTTTTACAATGCACTGTGCCTCGATGTTCCTCCCCATTTTAAAGCTTAACTGCCGTAGTTTACAGGAGGAATTAGACTGCCCTGCAAGGTCACTGGACAGGTGATATCTCATCAACTCAGCTCTCAGTTAACATAAGAAAAAGAGGATCATGGGGGACCAATGGTCACCGATTAGGCATTGTTTGTTATATAGAGGGAGCAAGTAGCTACAAGTAGTGCAGTGGGCCTTTAAGACCCCATAACAGCAAATGAGTTTTGCGTTTTTATTTCATCTTATTTTGACTGTTGTTTGTTCGGTTGAAAGTCTCTTGTTGTTTTGTGTGTGTTTGTTCGTGCTTGTCAGGGATTTTCCGGACATTTGCCCCTCCCACCTAACAGAATACTGGATCTGCCCTTTATTTTAACATGATAAAAAGTTAATTACCTCGATAGTGAGGATGTGAATGTGGCTCTCCTCTGCCATACGATAAGGCTTCATGTAGAGGTTAGAACCCGGCTCGCCAGGCCATTTCTGGTTATTCTTCTGCTCCCAATGGTGGATGTTTTGTGTGAACACGCCTAGCTGTGGATAGAATACATACGATTTCACACCAATGAAATCTTCAAAATATTTCGATGTCCTTGAAGTCGTTAATTAAATTACATTTTAATCTTGTCTAATAGTCTGATAGGTCTTAGTGGTTCGGTTAGGGTTGATGGTTTCTTTGTTTTACCTGGCTGCTAGGAAAACACGAACATACTTATAAGTCAGCCACTAGGACGGCTTAAAGTCCTATCCGAGGGACTGTGTATCGAGGATTAATGCTTAACAAATTGGGCACCAGCGTTTCGACTTGGTTTCGATCCCGATTTTTGTTGGTAAATATACATTCTTGACAGACAAATCCGCTATACAAATGTCCTTACCGTGTTTATGGAAAGGTACTGGTTCTTGCCCACGAAGATCTTGATGGTGTAGTTCACTCTGTCTCCGTGCTCATTGAAGGCCACTTCACCGCTGCAGCCTTCGAAAGAAAACTGTGGATCGACAAGAATAATGGAATTTGTTTTCAGTTTAATGTTTGTAAAATATTAATGATTTTAAGAATTCAAACGGATTGCCTAATGATTAGACAATGAACACTTAGCAAAAGCAACATCATCGCCTACGCTATCGACAGGATAGGAAATGTTAAAAGATATAGTGTGATCCGAATCAATCTCATTCAATTTTTGAAAAGGAGACTTTGGATCAATTCCAATTTTAGTTCAGATACAACTGTAGTATATTTGAATAGGGCCAATAATCTATTTTGCCATATTCAACAATCCGCAGTCGAACCAAAGTATTGACAGAGCTATAATATCCCATATCTAGAGATGAAATGTTATTTTAATTCTGTGTACGTATGGCTCTTCGACTTAGCTTCATACATATTTCTTGACAACTTGCCATAATGCCATTATAGCATATAATATCTTTATCGTTGTGACAATAAAAAGGGGAGAACGCAAAACTTCTTAGTCCGCCATTTGACACAACCAGAAAGGGCGTTGGTGGACAGATCGACTGGAATCATAAACTGCATGGGAGACGATGTTAAATCCCCTTTTCCATTCTTTGACTCATTAGTAGACAAACAAATAACCATACTTTTGCATAATGACGCAACCACCCAAACTGCTCACCTTGGAAAAACTAGACAGCAATTGACTCTTGGTAATGCCGCATCGGCCCGATGGAGGGTAGTTGTTGTGCTGCTCCTTGTACTGTTTCAACGCATGGCCTACCGCCAGCAGCGAGTCGTACGTCGTTTGCTGACGGAACGGCCACTTGCGGATTGCGTCAGCGCGACGAGTGAAGTAGCTACCTCCGACAGAACTCGCCGTCTCCATCTTGAAGCGAGTGAGGAAGGCAGAGTTGTAGCGCAGCTTGGTCTCCAAGAACGTCTTTCCCAGATAGGCCACGTTCTGTTGTTATGCAAAAGAGATTGAAGTTATTTACGTATAGTCGTATACTAATCATTTTTCCACAGGGCGTTACACGTGTTGATGCTTTACATCCACGCTTTAAGCCCCTCTGCACTATTTATAGCTACTTCCGCCCTCTATATAGCAAACAATGCCTAATCGGTGTCCGTTGGTCCCCCATCATCCCCTTTTACCTATGTTAGTTGAGAGCTGATTTGATTAAATAACCACTTGTCAGTGACCATACAGGGAGGTATAATCCCTCCTGGCCAAACTAGTGCAGATGGGCTTTAAAGAAATGCCATGAATCCCAACCTCGGGGCGCAAATAAAGTGGTGTAACATGAAAAATTGCATGTTTTTTTTCTTTTTTTTCCAGGTAGTATCTGCTTGCACTCAATCATAACTTACTGGATTTCCGAACAGCCAGTGCCAGGTGTCGAAGAGAAGCCCTTCCTCATATGCCTGGTGAAAAATGGGAGAGAGAAAAAACGAGGTGTTGTCATACAATTATGGGGAAATAACACGAAAATGTAATTCTGCATAATTCTTTTATCACTAATATAGATTGTAAAATAATAATCACTTAAAAAGCAGTCTAAAAATCATGCAGGTTGCGAAATAAACGATCCTACGTCAGCACTGGTGATTCCAAAGCTCATACGGTACTACAGGCAATCGGCAATGGTCGTCCACTCTATAATTTGACTGCTGCGAACAGATAATATAGCAGTTTAAAGGCAAAGCGGTCAGGTAATAAGATGTAGAAATAAGCGGTGAACCTTTAAAGTAAAGGCTGATGTATCTCTTTGAAGATTTCCTTAAATTGGGATATCATTATAGCAGGACGGCATGTGTGCTGTCGACACAAGTTGTACCATCGCAGTCAGAAACAGCAGTACGGTGGTTTGCTAAAGAAGTAGTAAAGCAATAAAGAAGAGACTATGAATATAATCAACCTTAACAACGATTTTTTTTTTTCCTGTCCAAAATAGCGGTAATGTATTCAACTGAACTATCAACTGCACTCCGTGATTTGTACTGCCGCGGTCAGATTCAGCAGAAAGGCAAAGCGGTTAGGCTCTAAAGATGCGGTGAGAGGTCAGAATCAGCAGAAAGGCAAAGCGGTTAGGCTCTATAGCTGCGGTTCGTGAGAGGTCAGATTCAGCAGAAAGGCAAAGCTGCGGTGAGAAGGCAAGGAATACAAATTACCGCGTCGACGACTTTCTTCAAGTTCTCTTCAATGTGCATGTAGACAACGATGTTCTTCACAGCTCTCGCCTTGATATCCTTCATCTGGGCATTGGGGTCATCACCATCCAGCGCAATGGGCGTGGCGGTCCACCCAGTCTCTGGGGACATCCCCATTAGGGCATTCACCATATCGTATCCTGTTTAGCAGAAGAGAAAAAAGACCATCTATTAATTTTGTGGGTGAAGATTTAACGTTTTACTTCTTCATGGTCATGACGGTAGAGAATATTTCAGATGAATTTTCAGGGATGCACCAGAATATTTTTTTGTTAAGTAACAGCCTCTAAAGACGAATGGAGCATGATGTTTGAAGTGTCGAGGAAAAGTAAACTCTCACAAAGGGCTTTAAAACTCTTAACAAATCCTATTTGACCTACCTCCTTTTCAGGGCTTTTAAAATCTATATACATCAATGCAATAAACTTTATATCATAGTATATGGTATGGCCTTGGGTTCTACCAACAAATGTGCAGAAATTGTTTATTGAACCATTTCTTTTGAATACCAATGGTCTGCTTTCAATTGTCTTATTGGATTGTGATGGATGGGAAGGCAACATTAGGTTATGGACATGGTGCTCTTAACTCTATTCGTTAATAAAGATAGCTGTCATTGAGGTTGAGGTCAAGGTCAATGTAATCAGTAATAGACGGTTGTTATTCATGATTCAGATCATGAAAAATCAATAATCATTAATGCTAAATAAAATTTCCCAACTTTTACAAGCAATAATAATATGAAAATGAAATAGAAACACTCTAAATAATTTTGATACACTTAAAGCCCATCTGTACTAGTTTACAGGAGGGATAAGACCACTCTGCAAGGTCACTGGACAGGTGGTTATCTCATCAAATCAGCTCTCACTTAACATTTTTTTTAAAGGACCATGGGGAACAATGGTCACCGATAAGGCATTGTTTTCTAAATAGAGGGAGCAAGTAGCTAAGTAGGACAGTGTGGCTTTAAATTAGAAATATTTGAGCACTCACCCGAATCCCCATCGTACATAATGATAAAGGTAGACCATCGGTAGTGCTTGATGACCTTCGAGACCAACTCAATCATCTCATCGGTGATGGGATACATCTTAATGGAGCCCGAGCCCGCACTCTGATCGGTGGTCAGGGTCGGTGAGTACGCGTTGCCCATGATGTACCCGACGCCTTGGCAATCGAGGCAGATGTCGTCGGGAAGGATGAGGGCGTGGGCATCCTTGTTGTTGATGAAAGAGCATGCTGAGATGCGAGGTTCAAAGAAGAAGAAGAGGAAGATAATGTCAGCCATCTTCGTCACCAAGGCAACAGTCATTTAAATGTATGACTTAGCACCAGATTATAACATATATAGGACTACCATTAAAGGGACTTGGAAACATTGTTCAGATGAGAGAAAATGGTGCTAAGGTAGTGACTTCAATGCTAGATTTACAATAAAAGACTATTATTAATGATAACAATTGGGAAAACTGATCTAATCGATTCCTTAATTCTCCCACATATTATTTCAATTTAATTACATTTTAGGTCAATGAAAATCGTCACAAAGCAATGAATTGACTCTTTTTACCATTTCAGACATATAAGTGTTGACAGATTTTTTTTTAAAGCCTGTTTTATATCTTATTTTCAGGGAAAAACGGTTGGGAAAATTCAAAAATTGGTTTGGGGAATTTACTGTTTAGAGGGTATCGCACAGTGACGCTTTCAAAGAAAACCAAAAATACCTTTGTGGTTTGAGAATTTTTACAGGATTTTTTGCATGTCAGAGGGTTAGTACAGTTAAAGGAATATAATAAGTAACATTTCATATAAATTTTTAATTTTGTTATAATCAACCTTCAACAATGCTACCGAGTCACTTTAAATACTCATCATTAAATCGAATATCTAACAACGTTCAACAGATATTTTTTTTAATGCAGGATATTATCATTTGAAAGATGCTGTTTCATGCTGTGCAAAGCTGCTTAGATTTATTGATGCTAATTGATATTCACATGATATTCACGTCTCCTTAAGAAACTCCTGTTTATTAACAAAAAGAATAAAACGTTTGCTTTAACGTATATCATTTATTGATGACATGGTATAAAAATAACTGTATACATGTAAGTTCCATTGAATCATTGTAATTAATAATAATAACAATAATATGATATTTGTATACCGCAAATTGCCTCTAAGCGGTTTAAAAATTTACATATGCGTTGGCCGGGAATCGAACCCAGATCAACTGCTTAAAAGACAACTATGCTACCATTATTGGCCTACCACCAACGCAATAAGAAATTGGTGGTACTCCCGTAGCGGGAATCGAACCCGGGCCGCGTGGGTTAAAACCACGAATCCTAACCACTAGACCACACGGGATTGACCTGATTGAGATTGATCATTAATTGATATTGATGTGTGAACTCACCGGCCCTCACACCGACCGACACGGAGTGCCTTGCCCAGCCCTCCTCGGTGGGGCTGTTGAAGTGGACGGCGGCGATCTCGTCGCCTTGCGGGAGAATGGTGCCGTCGCGGTTGATGTGCTGGGCGGCGTCCGTCAGAATGTTCTTGTAAACGTCGTTGATGTGCGTCGACTCGCCGTACATGGCACCTGTTGCGTCGACGACGACAGGGAGAGAGAGAGAGAGAGAGAGAGAGAGAGAGAAAGAGAGAGAGAGGGGGAGAGAAAGAGAGAGAGAGAGAGAAAGATAGAGAGAGAGAGAGAGAGAGACGAGAGAGAAGAGAGAAAGACAAAGACAAACAGAGGGGGGGGGTGACAGCAGGAGATAGGCAGAGAGAGAGAGAGAGAGTGAGAGGTGAAATGAGGGAAAAAGCCGGGGGGTGGGTTACAAGAAAGACAAATGTTACATCGTACTTTGACGAAGATGAAAATATAAGTTACACCATATTGATGGGAGGGAACATACCATAGCCCAAAACGTTATAACGGATTTGGAAATGGCTTTGAAAATCAAAATCTCAAGGGGCATCAAGGGTCATTAGGTGAAATAAACACAAAAGATTTCTTAACATGTGCCCTACCATTTTTACGAACACTTTCTAAAATTTGAAGTGACATTAAAGCATCAAAGTATAGAAATAAAAGCAATACTTTTTAAACGCAACAACAGAACGTGTCATCCACTATCTTTACATTGGTTCAAATGAGGACATGAAGACGAAGACCTATTTCCGTGATTTCCAAGGTATACTAACAAGTAAAATGATGATTTAATTTAATTCCCTTCTTAATTAGTTAGCCGTTGTGTCATGTGATTAGTGTTGCTGATTTGGCATCTAAGTAAGGGTCCCTCAAAACGCTCATGGAACAAGAACAAAGATATAAACAAGGAGGAGAAAAAAGAAAGAACTGAACCCCCCCCCTTTCCCCTTAAAAAGTGGAGTTTTTTAAAACCGTTTCTTCAGGGATAACGTCACACGGCACTGGATTATAATAATCTTGATATTAACACTGATTAATTATGTTAATAATGTTCAGTCACAGGTGTACTATCAGGATTTAACCAGGTCTATAGCATTACAGCAATTGACAAATCACATTAGATTGTGAATCGCAACTGTTGTGTCTTCAAAAATATATATTAAAAAAAAAATCATTGTATGTACTTACAAAAATACTACGCCATATAAATACATAATTACAATTAAGTCAATGAGGCATTTAATCACAGCAATTTGCAGCTAAATTCACAATAGCCAACCGTGTTATCTACAATTAATGACAATAAAATGCGAATTTTGCACTATGACTTTCCTTTTTTTGTAAAGGCTCCTTTTCAATTTCCTAATCTTTACCACTCAAACTATCATTTCATCAAAAGGATCAAGATGAATTAAAATCACATATTGCTAGCGCTATTGCCCTATTATATTTATCATTTAAAAAGGAGTATTGGATTCCCGAAAATAGTTCCGGCTGCGGGCGATTAACTGTCAGGTTGATCCTTCTCTATCACATAACAAAAAATTACTTGTATTGTAAATAATATTTTGATACAGAGATGTGTGGTGCATAATCTTTGCTGCTGCACCTTGCATTGTTTGCTAAATAAATATTAAAAAAACAGTCTCGAAAGTAGTTCCGGTACTAAATGTTCCGATTGGCGCCCATATCGCTTGCATACTATATATGAATGAATAGTATCAGCGTTATTGATATCATTACGTTGCTAGTGCTATCATAATTGTATTCTCTCTGGTAACAATACAAAATCTCTGAAAGTAGTTCCGGCTCGTGATGTCGTGATGTTGCGATAACGATCTCTGGTTGTCGTGGAAAATATCGTATGCGTAAATTCCTACTTATGAAAACTTAAAACAGAATACAGAATCCTAGAGAAGTCTTATAAACATGAATTAGAATAATAATTAATAATTGAATTCATGTCAAAATGAATAATATAAGTGAAACTAGATTCATAGACTAAAAAAAAAAAATTTGTTATGCTTACCAACTTTTATCGTCACCGCGTAAGACAGCCCCAGCAGAGCAGACAAAAATAGCAAAATCTTCAGCAAATCCATTTTGGGGTAAATTCGACGTTACTTCCTTTCCAAAACGCCAAGAATAACCCCTTTTCCAGAACCCCAAGTAACCCCAAAATATGTATATGTATCAGCCTAGACTTCACTTTAGTTGACTTCAAGCAAGTTCTCCTTCTGATCATCTAAAAAGTCAAGCCCCTAAAAGCCTTCCAACTTCTGCTACAAGCACGTCCTCCCATTCGCCGTCAACTTTACTTCGGCGCATGCGCAGATTGTAATTCCATCATCTTTAATGGATGTGGTCCGATCGCCTGTCGAAGGCGATTCAAAACTTTTGTTATGAATATACTCGAATTCAGACCCTAAAAGGAAACTTTATTTCGTGGGTGACGCGATACGGTCGTCTGCATGCCTATATCGGGTTCCAAACATTTTGTCAGACATGTTAGATGACCGATGTTTCCATGCTACCTTTTCCGACATTTTCTCCCAATATAAGATTCCCTATCACTGCAATGCGCTCTAATTTTAAGGGATTTAATAGATCATTTAATCATATCTACCCAGATGAACCAATGTTGACAATGTTTTTAAGAATGATATTGATAATAACAATGAATTTCACCTCGTCATATCCAACAACAATAGTGATTTTGGGGTATAAAAGACGCCGTCAGCCGGAGCGACCGACGGAACTATATTCATTTCACCAGAACCTGTGATCGTGTCTCTGGTGGGTCATGAACCTCTAATTACAATGATTAACCTTCGGATTTATGATCCATTATCTGTTCGTATAGACGGGATTCTAGGGAAATTTTATTGGAATAAATCCACACCATTATTAATCTATTCATATGGTGTAGGACGAAAGACCGCAGACGAAAACATTACGTCACCAAGCGCTGGGCTGTGACTTTTGTGTATTGAAATTTTCTTCGATTCTTTATTAAACCCGTCAACTGGTAATCAAACGAAAAGATGAAATAAAGCTTACTTTAAATGAACTTTAACCCAAAAAATGTTGTTTGGGGTTTAAGGATAAAGTTTACTGCAGGCCATGCGATTGTCATTGTGAAAGAACAGCTTATAAATTAATTAGGAGAGAATGATTATGTAGTACCTATAAGAGCGATTGTGTAGTGTGAGGTTTTAGAATCAACAACATATTTGCAAACTGACTCAGTTTTACTGGAAATCACACACAACAAAATGCGCTTCATAACGATAAGTTTTTGACTTTTATTAGGTATATTTGGAATCATGAGGGAATTAAATGGGGCAATTTTCATGTGACATTATCGAAAAGAAAAAGCTATAAAATTCAATTGTCACCTATACGAGAACTGAACCTTCTCGTCAACATGTCAACAATAAGAAAATGAACCGTATTATTGTTATATCATATACGGTCAACATGAGAATGTATAACATTGACCTCATAAAACGTGACGACAGATATGGTTCTGAAATGCGCTGAACCCCACCCTCCTCGTCTTGCTGCTGCAACTGGTGTTGCCAATGTTGTTGCTGTCTGTTGTTGCTGTAGTCGTCGTCGTCGCTGTTGTTGGTGGTGGTGTTGTTGGTGGTAGTATTGTTGGTGGTGGTGTTGTTATTGTAATTTACTGAACTACTAATGCGAAATTAATCGAGTGTCACCCGACATTATGCTAGGTTTGAACAAATATTGGAACTATTCCAAGTGCTGAATCTTTATTGACATTAGGTATTATGATGGTGACATTGATGATAAAACGGGGGAACTCTAAGAGAGCATTCACATTTAATATTTGAATGAAAAGTGCATGTCATTATGACGTGCGGTATGGATTACATTTCTTTCTCTTTTTTTCCAAAGAGGTTGCAGCTAGCAAGTTGTTTTGTAAAATTTTGATATATTTGTGTTTCCTCTTATTCCTTGTTTTTTTTTTTTAGTAACTTTTTATTCTACCTCATTCCAAATACGTTTTTGTCATATTATCTCTCTCTCTCTCTCTCTCTCTCTCTCTCTCCCTCTCTCCCTCTCTCACTCTTCCACTCTCTCTCTCTCTCTCTCTTTCTCTCTTTCTCTCTCTCCTGAAATATCTATATCCGCTGCGTTTCAGTTTGTTTCCCATGTCTCCCACCAACCCATCTAACTTTCCTCTTAGCTTAGATTATATGCCGTCAAACTGGGGTCGTGTACACATGTAATGCATTGAAGCTTATAGAGTGTAATGGCAACATTCAAAAGCTGTCGAAATTAAATTGATAAAATGTACACTGTTGCCGAAATGAAATTTACAAGTAATGTCATTGAAATTGAATTTTCATGCAATATAGATTTCAGTTACCGTTGGTTTGGAACATGGTGTCAACGAACTTTGACAGGGGCAGACCAGGGATATGTGCCATTCTTGTGATTGTGTTTAATATATTTTCATTTTGTAATAAATAGGATTTTTATCTCTCATACATTTTGTTTCCCGATATTTCAATTTTTGTTTCTCATGTGTATGTATATAGGTATATAGTTATGCCATATTATATATTATAGCTGAATTCGACTTCTGTAATGATTAATTGAGTTTCTGAATAGGCAAATTGAATAACTAGTAAGAGCTATAAACACACGTCAAATTGAGTTATCGAAGTACCATTATTTCACAATTTGAAAAGGACATATGCCTAAATTTAGCACAATTCTGTTCACGAAATTTTGATTCCACATGTGTCTGCGGTCCCACATATACCTATATTTGTGGGCAGTGCTTTTCACTGTGTGCAATTTTCGGTAAGATTTGGTATATTTGTCATGAATGTCATGATTTCGACACTTCTCAACGACATAATCAACCTTTCCCGAAATCTTCCTAACCAACATGTTTCTTGCTCAATCATAATCGCACGACCAGTATTCAGCTCTAACGTTCTGGTAGGAATCTAGAAATACACATCTACACATTATTCTAATATCGCCTCTGGAGTCCCTCCTTTCTCAAAAGGAAACAACAAATTCTTTCTGCGATTTATGGTGATTAAAGATAAACTTGAGTTCTGGTAAAAAAAAGAAAATGAATTCTCACAGAATCTAACGAAACTTACACTGAATGTTCAAGATTACTAATAAATGTCACGTGCCAAACAATTTTGGAAGAAAATGTATACTGGCTGAGTAATGAGCATAGAAAGATAAGAAAATCAGGGTAGTACTAGCCCCGACACCATGTGTGTTGTCCCATATACATCTTTCTGTGTAAGTGATTGTTACTTTACCAAGACTCTGCCACATTTATGATGATTTTGATGACTCCAGAACCTTGCATTACACACCATTACTTACATGCTATATGATCAACTTTTCTGATCCATTCCACACCTTTTCTTTCACAATGCAATCGCATTACCAGAACTCAAGTTTATCTTTAATAACAATCGCACCAGAAATAAATCAAAAGCTTAGTTGAAATACATGCCAGTATATTTTACGTTTTAAATGAGAGCATGTCCTCTTGAGTGTGTGTGATGCATGATAGGGCATGACAATATGTTGGTCTTGGAAGCCCTGGGTTTGTCTTAGTATTAACAAATCTTTTAACCTTTCGCCTTTTTCATTTATTTTTAACTCTGTTCTTCTCCTTGGATGTTTTCAAAATGTTTTTTTTTCTCTCTTTACATTCCTGAAATATCCAAGCTTAGAAAAATAGTACTTCCCCTTTTCTTTTTCTTTTATTACTCATTTGACAACGGGGATACATAAATCATGAGTGTATATACATATTCGAAGAAGTCCGAACAATTTGACACTCGCTGAATTGCAATTCCGCTCACAATATGTGCACTATCTTTATTCCTTTAGTTTCCTCTATTCTTATGTCGTCCATTTGTGTGGCAAAATCAAATTGATTTTTGGACGTTCAGCAATAGTATCCGTTCGCTTTAAGTCAGAATTTCAGTTGAATTAATAGCAAAATGACATAAGCGACCTAGCCGGGATTCGAACTCTGTCTATAGTCGATTCATAATGACATAACCACGACACCAACCACTAGTCCAAAGAGAGGCTCTTGTTCTTGAACTTTTGAACTATTTTCCTGCTAGACGAAATGATGAATCAACATGCAGGTGTTTCATGACAATTTTTAACTTAATTTACAACACCAAAAGACTTTTGTATTATAGATGTCAGCTGTTTTCCATTGGGGAATCGGACTAGATGCTTTACCGGAAATCAAGTTCATTCAAAATGTGAAACCGAATGTGAAAGTTTCATTGTTTTATATATCTGGGGAAAAATGGTCGTAAATTCCTTCAAATGTATGACGTTTCATCGTTCTGCCCCCAGAAGGGCATTTCGATGGCAGCTTTTCCCTTTCAATAAATGGGTGACTATGCGTTTAAAGATTATATGCTATATCACATGTGATTAAAGATAAACTCCAGTTCTGGTTTAAAAAAAAAATTTAAAAAAAATTCTCACATAATCAAACGAAACTTACACTGAATGTTCAAGATTACAAATAAATGACATGTGCTAAATAATTTTGGATGAAAATGTATACTTGCTGATTAATAAGCATAGAAAGACAAGGAAATCAAGGTAGTAGTAGCCCCGACACCATGTGTGTTGTCCCATATATAGCTTTCTGTGTACAGTGCTTGTTACTTTACCAAGACTCGGTCAAATTTATTATTATTTTGATGACTCCACAACCTTGCAGTGCACACCAATACTTACATGATACATGATCAACTGTTTCTGATCCTTTCCACACCTTTTCTTTCACAATGCAATCGCATTACCAGTACTAAAGTTTATCTTTAACAACATGACATGAGAGTTTATTCAAATCGAATACATATCACTGGTGACACTGCCATTTAGTGGATCGAGAACAGAAACACGCCGCTAATTTAAGTTTCGAGAATTTCATATTAGTATCCAGATTATACATTTTGAAAGCACTAGGCGCTTATAACAAAAATATCTGGAAATAAATGTTGGGCTAATGCCTTCACGTAGAACTGAGATGTAAAAAAGACTTCACAATGCTTATATTCAATTTGACTTTAAGCACCGTGGTTGAGCTTTAGTGTCCTCGATCTACGTGATCTATATAATGTTGACACGAAAATGGAGGACACAAATAATTGTCAGAAACACGAATGTATACAATGAAATCCCGTCATCAAAATTACTATAAAATGAGAATGCTTTGTTCTGTCATATATACTTCATGCATTCTGAGGTTTATTAATTTTGTATACCGTGCTAAGTTTGAAAGAAAGTAGCCTTAGGTCAAAACTGGAAGATACAATCCTCAACGTCTGATTGGTCTGTTGTTGATATTCAGGTCAATCGAATGCAAATAGTGACAACAA